TCTCCAGTCTCTTCCCAGAGGCAGCAGGGCCAGGAGTGAGGGAAGATTTGGCTATCAGGTGTGGGCTCTCCTTTAGCCTGGGAGTGAATCACTTTGGTGCAGATTTGGGAGAATACTTTGTTAATTATAGGCTTATATATGAATGCTGAGTTGGATACTTTGCACTGTAAGATGTGTTGTTACCCCATGTCTCTTTTGGGCTGTTCAGCTGGAGAAGAGAAGGTTTTGAGGAGACCTTAGAGCCTGTTTTAGAACCAAAAGTTGACTTACAAAAAGGCTGGAGAGGAACTTTAGACAAGGAAAATCCAAGCTCATGCCTTTAATATCATGAATTACAGAGCTTAGATGTGTGACTTTGATCAGCCAGGTCCTCCCAATGATCTAAACATTGGGGTCACTCCACAGCTTTTGTCTGGTGCTGTAAAGAGGATGTGGAGGTCGAGTGCTGCACGAAGCACCAACCCAGGAGTGACTTCATCCTCTAATAACTCCTCCAGCTCTGTCTCCCAGGGAACCCCTTTGTATTCAATTAGCTAATGTGTGCCTAGCACTTGGAAAATATAGAGTGCCATAGAATTGCTAAGTGTTGTTATTTAACAGCACATATTTAGTGGTTGCAGCCCTGGAGTAGAAGTCAGAAAATCTACACAGTAATTGCCTGGTGCTGCTGCCGAATTTGCTGTGATTTGAGCAAGGCCTGGGGATTTTTCTTGTGGAAAAGTTCATTAATTTTGGCTGCAGACCCTTGGGGCTTATTTTTTTCTGAGATCTTTCGAAACAGAATATTGACTTCTGGTGGGTGTTTTAAGTAACAGAGTGAAAAGAGGGGGAAGAATTCAGGCAGACAGGACTCGTGTCCCTGGAATTCACCTTGCCATGATTTTTGGTGGTCTTCTCTGTGGCTCAGGTTGGACACTGATTTGTGTCCCTGGACTGGTTTGTGTCCCTGGAATTCACCTTGGCATCATTTCTGGTGGTCTTCTCTGTGCCTCATGTAGGACTGAGATGGAAAGCAAAGTGTTGGGCAACTATTGCAATTGCTCCAGTGTTGGGAGTAGGGGAAAAATCATTGGCAGTGGAATAGGATGGATATTATGGAATAGCTGCCACCATGGTGATGGATATTATGGAATAGCTGCCACCACAGTGGAGTGACAGGTTCGTGGTTGGACTCGATGATCTTAGAGGTCTCCTCCAACATTGATGATTCTGTGGTTCTAGGAGATAATGAGGGAGATTTTGCACCCATTTCTTTGATTCACATCCTCTTGTGTTCACTTGGTGTTGCCTGAAATCCTGTGGCTCCAGAACTGTGTTTGCACAGGTGGAGGAGGATGTGACAAGGCTTGGAGTCTCATCTTAAACAGAGTATGCTGAGTGATTTTCCTAGTGGCTCCTTGCTCTTATTGCATTGGAAAGTTTTGTTCCAGACAGGACTGCAGAGAAGAGTGACTATAGGAGGAGAGAAAAGCAGCTGGGAAATTTCTGTGTAGGCATTAGGCTCACCAACTCTGTCCAGCAGCCAAGGCAAGGTGGTAGCTTAGGCAAAAGTCAGTTCAATGATAAATCCTTGGACCTCCAGCTGAAAATACCCCTGGGAGAAGTGTTTTCCACACCTTTTCCTGCCTGAGTTTGCCTCTTGCCAGGCAGCATAGGAGGCTGAGCCCTCCCTGGCCATCTGGAGGGCAGGAGTGGGGCTTAAGGATGGGAAATCAGCTGAGAGATGCAGGTCTGGCATGGGAAATGAGTTTGTGTTTGCAGAACGTGGGTTTGGAAATGTCAGGCTTGGTGGATGAGTGTGTTAAAAGGGGAAAACTAAACAGGAAGAGAAGCTGAGCATGCAGCTCCAGGAGTATCTGGATGCTCTCACCCCTTTGCCCTCCGTGGCAGGGCTGACCTTACCAAATCTCTCTTATCCCACTGCAAATGAAGTGTGTCCCCCAAGGGTGGTTTATCTCCATCTCATTGCATAGGCAGCTCACGGCTCATTTCCCTCTTCCTGACCTGGCTCTGCAGAATGCTTTTGTGCACAGCTGATGGAAAAACCTTTCCAGGCAAAAGATTGGGAGCTGGAGCAGAAGGGGGGAAAGGGTCAGGTACAGGCCATGCCATCCCTGTGTGGTACAGAGATGATGCTTTATGGGCATGACAGCATGAGGAAGGGAGTTTTCTGCAGCTGGAGGCTTGCCTGGAAAGAGATGGATATGGAGAGTGTTGGCTGTAGGAAAAGACTAAAGCTTGCACAATGGGAGCTGCTAATGGGAGCAGGGAAAAGCTGCTGTTTACTTTTGAACCAGAGTAAATTGTTGTCTCTGGGGGAAGCGTGTCAGGGTCTGCCTGTGGCACTCAGCACAGAGCAGACAGGGCCTGTGGGCTCAGCAAGCAACTGCTGAGTGGCCACGGGGAATTGCAGCCATGCCTCAGTTTCCCCACGTGTAGTGAGATCCAGATTAAATGTTAGGAGAAATATTTTCACTGCTAGAATGTTCAGGCACTGGGATATTGCCCAGGGAGGTGGTGGAGTCACCATCCCTGGAGGTGTTTGAGAGGTGTCTGGAACTGACACTGGTGGATATGGTTTAGGGGTTACACCAGTGACAGTTTAATGGTTGGACTTGCTGATCTTAGAGGTCTCCTCCAACTTTGATGATTCTAAGTGAGACCAGAGAGACTCATCCCTTGCCCAGTAATTACTAATTTAGGGAGCAGAGCATAACAAACCTGCAGCCTCAAAAGCTTGGAGATGTTTTCAGGGGAGAAAAGGCATAATGAACAAATGCTCTAATTTCAGCTGCCTTGAGGATGGAATGGTCTGGCTGAGCCTGAAGCCTTGGACCGTGTGGCTGGTTTTGTACAAAACACCTCATTTTCCTTCTGTGTCTCACAAAGCCAAGAGGCCAGTGAGGCAGCTGCTGTCTCATGCCCCACACAATTTGCCTCCAGGCTCTGGCTGGAGGGAGATAGTCTTTTCCAGGGGCTCAACACATCTCCTGCTGCTCTGCTTGCATCCAGGAACTCCTCAGACCCAGGTCCTCATTAGCCATCTGCCCTCGTTGCACAAGCTGACAAGATGCTGTGGGTAAATGGATAACCTGTCAGGAAGGCAGGAAGATAATATCATTCAAATGAATCAATAGTTCACAGGCAATTTCATGTTACCTAACAGTAATGTGGTTGTGTCCAAAATGCACTTAATCCTCTGTCTGATCACATTCCCGTGGGAGTTTGCTGGGCTGGAATAGTCTTGTAGCTCTGTGTTTGGGAGATTTACAGACGTTGCTCCTGCGTGGCTGGGAACACAGCACAGATAAAAAATGACTTGCCTTGCTGAAATCTCATACTCCACAGAGCCCAAAAACATCCATATTAGTGATGGAGGGGAATGGGCATCCGGCAGTTTGGGAAGCGATTACTCCCACCTTCTCACTCCATTGCAGCAATTAGCCAAAGAGGAATTAGTGAGGAAGTGCCATTATTTCCTGCTAATAGGACAAGAAGGGCTGGACTCTTCTCCAGGAGTCTGACTTTGTCATGGAACTGCTTCCGTGGATGTGAGTGGCAAAATAGAGCTCTCCCTTTATGCTTTGAGGTTTTTTGTGCAGTCATTTTTATACACTTTGCCCTTTAGATATGCAAGAGGATGCTCCCAAGTCCAAACCCCACAGTCAAGGCACCTTTCCACCCTCCTCAGAGCATTAGGATGTCCCAGGAGTGAAATCTCCTCCTGGGACCTGATGGCAGAAAGGAGCTGTGCAGGATTGGGTTAGGGTTGGGTAGGTTAGGATTTGGTGGGTTAGGGTTGAGTGGGTTAGGATTAGGTAGGTTAGGGTTAGGTTCCTCCTCCTGTGGGCAGGAACTGATGTAATTTAACCAAGTTTAAACTTGGTGTCACCAAATTGGACCTGGTGGTAGAAGAGCTTCACTCAGCAGATGATGTTTGCCCCCTAATCTGGGCTTCAATTCAGACGAAATTAAGAAGAGTAAAGAGAGGATGTTAGATGCTCTCCAGACATGGATCTCCACAGTCTGGTGGTCTTGGTGGCCTGGGGATCCCTCCTGCCCTGGGTTTGGGTGCTGTCCTCACACTGCCTGGTGCTCTCAGCCACAGCAATAGGCACTTCACTCAGCAGATGATGTTTGCCCCCTAATCTGGGCTTCAATTCAGACGAAATTAAGAAGAGTAAAGAGAGGATGTTAGATGCTCTCCAGACATGGATCTCCACAGTCTGGTGGTCTTGGTGGCCTGGGGATCCCTCCTGCCCTGGGTTTGGGTGCTGTCCTCACACTGCCTGGTGCTCTCAGCCACAGCAATAGGCACAGCAATGTTTTTGAACACAGCACAGTCTGGTGGTCTTGGTGGCCTGGGGATCCCTCCTGCCGAATCTGTTTTGGGAGTGCCTTGGAGAGAGCATTGCTTGGGAAATATAAATCTCTCCGTGCTCTGGACCTCCCACAGCAAAGTTTGACCTTCTCTGGGCTGTTATAGCAGGTTACTGACTTCACCTGAAATATATCATCCATCTCCTTGCTTGGCTGTAAGCTCAGAGTTACAGGGAACCTCCTGTCAGAAGAGTTGGTTTATAAGCTGCAAAAGAAGAACATCACACTCAATTGTGGTTGGCAGGAACCACAGCTCAGAAACTGAAAGTTCCTAGAATTCACTTTGGAGGTTTTGGGGGGATTTTTGGGTGGAATTTGGCTGATAAAGTACTGGAATTGGTTGACATCTTCAGTAAAAGCCTAAATTGAACAACACCTGGTTAGCACCAATGCTCTTCCTTGCTGGCTGGTGGGTGAGTTTAAGCCCTGGTGTGGAGGGTGTGGGTTGCACATGCTGTCCTTGCTGGCTGGTGGGTGAGTTTCAGCCCTGGTGTGGAGGGTGTGGGTTTCACATGCTCATAGCTGCATGATCCTGTCTTCCCTCCAAGGGTATTGAGTTGTTTTGAAGCTTTCAGTGCCTGTTTTCTCCCCTAATCCCATTTTGTTTTGGGCTGCTCTAGGAGTTCTCCCTCCAGCGCCTGGACAGTTTGCTGGATGACCGAGTCAACATCCTAGGATTTTCTATCTTCAACCAGTCTCATGCTTTCTTCCAAGAGTTTGTCCAGAGCCTCAACCAGTCCTGGCAGGAGAATTGTGATCATGCTCCTTTTACTGGACCAGCAGTAAGTAAAACTCATTCCCATCACCCACAGCCTCTCTGAGCTGGAAAGAGATATAGACCATCAGGAAAACCTTGTGAAAAGAGCTTCAGGATGGTTCTCAGCAGAGACTGGCAAGGCAGAGGTAGAAACTCTGGTTTCCGATGTATGCTATTGACTAATTAATCCAGGCAAACCCTGTGCTAACGAGCTTGGGCACATCACCAGGCTGTAGTTGTACTGCTGTACCTTGGATTGGCTTTTGTGGGGAGATGATGGTCCAGAAATGAGAAGGATGAACCAGACAGAGAATTTTAGTTCAGTAGGTAGGAGAGGACTTGTCAAGCTGTGATATACAGGAGAGTTTCCTGATCTGGACAATCCCAAAGTGATCCTGAAAGTCTGTGGTGGCCCAAGGTGACCCTGTGGGAGCCACATGGGTGGAGATGTTTAGAGGGTTTGTCTGTGCTTGATTCAAGAGTACAGCTTGAAATGCAAACCTAATCTTAATTTGAATCAGGTTTCGTGTGAGTGCAGGGTGTGCTGCTGCTGCCCTGATTCAGTGTTCCCCTTGGGAAATGGGTCCCTAGGAGAATGGCTCATGGAAAAGGGACTGTGAATGGCACAGAAAGGGCTGAGCTCAGGCAGATGCCAAGGGGCTGTGTTATATTCCATGCTCCAACATCTCCCTGATGAGTGTGCACATCAGCACTGAAATCTTCCCTAGGGATTCTCCCCAACTGGGAAAGGTTTGCAAGGCAGATTTGCCAAATCAGGGGTGCAAGGGGCCGTGACTGGAGAGAGAAAACATCATCAGTGGAACCCTCTTTAATGAACTCAAAGTGCCCTGGAGGAGCTGAGGCAGCTGTGTGCTGCTGAAAACCTTATTGGCACCACGAAGAAAGCAAAATAAGGAGCTTTCTGCCCTTTGTGTCCAGATCCTTTTGGCTTGACATGGAGCCCAGGCCGTGGTGTGTACGTGCCTGGGACCATCCTGCTCTCCCTCCTCCCTGTGCAGAGGCAGCTGTGCTCAGCTTTTTGTCTGCCCTGCTGAATCTTCACAGGATTGCTCCTAGGAAGCTTCTTGTTTGGCTGACAGTTGCAGGGAGTGTTCAGAGGCATTAATAAATTCCCTTCTAATAGTACAAGCAGGAGAAAGGAGGAACAGGAGCGTGGCAGGTGTGATGGGGAAATTAAAATTCTCACTGTGCCTTGCCCTGTGTTGTCTTGAGCAACCAGCAAAGTCTGTAGGTGGAAGGATGCAAGGATATGCCTTTCAGGAGGGAGGGGAATTCTCCAAAATGCCATGTCCAAGGTGATGGGGAAAGGGCTTTGCTTTGGGTGGGGAAGATACAGAGCAGTGAGGTGGAATATTCCCAGGTAGGGCATGTGTTTCCTTCCCTTTGTCTGCAAATCCAAGACCATTCTGCCAGGGATTGTGTCTGCTGTTGGGAGTTTGGCAGGTCTCATCTCCCAGGGAGCATCTCTGTGTGTGTTAGAACTTCTCCTTGCAGTCCTGGGGAAGGAATTAGCTCATGGGTAGCTCATGGTAAAGAGAGACAAGGAAGCTCAACAGCTGGAAGTGACAGGAGGGAGGTTTCCTATGAGCTGCAAAAATCCCAGGGTTTTCTTGCTGGAGCTGAGGAGGCATCTGACAAAGGAGGAGGGAACTGCCTGCTCTAATGCCATTGCCATTAATCACATTGCAAAGAAAGGAAATCAGAGAAAATCATTCAAATTACAGATGGCTAGATTTGGTAATTAGAATTTAGGCTCAAACAGATGTTTGTAATTAAGTGTTTATGCCATTGAATAAAATCCAGATTGCCAAGTCTATTTCACAGGGGTTTCATGGTTTTAATTCGCAGTGTTATGTTTGGGGGCAAAGATACAGATGAGAATGTTTTAGGGAGGAAAGGAAGAAAAAAAACAACCCACATGGCAGAACTCAGAGTAGTCAAACCTGTTCCTGTTTGCCTTGGAGATCAGGTCTGCTTTGCACATGGCCTTTAGCTGGGAGATTTCTGGAAAGAAAAAAGTGGGAAAAGTGGATCTTCCACTTAACTGTGCTTAACCTGCTGTGTCTGGAGGAGCAGGTCTGGTGTTGGGAGGAAGATGTGGATGCAAGTGTCTCTACCCAGGCAGAGCTCAGACATGAGGCATCTGATGAGGTTCATTGCCTTGATACTGGTTGGAAGGTCCTGACAGCTGATGTGCAAGGGCTGCAGGTCTGTTTGTTGATAGTTTCTAGCTGGTGAGCTGTTCCCAGAGCTTTGTGTCCCAACAACACTCCTTTAGTTCTCAGGTACAGCCTCTCCTCGTGCACCTGACCAGTGTACCAAGGGGATGGCTGATCCACCAACTGCTCCTTTTCCTGGAGCCTTGTTCTGATGAGGCATCCATCGAGTGGCCACCAACTGCTCCTTTTCCTGGAGCCTTATTCTGATGAGGCATCCCTCGAGTGGTAATTTCTCTCAGCAGCTTTCACTGCCAAGGATCAGGTTGTAGGGATAGAGGGAAGTCCCCTGAGCCCCATGGATCTGTGAGTGCAGGACCAGCACTGAGCTGAGCCTGCCACGAGCTCTGCCACTGCAGAGATGGCACAAACCCAACAGGGATCTGCACAAATCAGATGGTACAAGCAAGGAAGAGAACCAATTTGTCAACAGACAAATTGGCTCTTTGTGACAGAGTGACAAAGCTGTGGCTTAAAACGAGAACATGAAAGGAGTGAGAGATTTTTTAGGTGACGTGAAGAAAGTTGAGGTGACACACGAGAGCACTGACAGATTTCTCCTAGCTGACTCTGCCTGAGGGAAGCTCCACAGGTGCTGCCTCCTGGTTTTTCTCTCTCCACTCCTCTGCTGAAGGTCATGGCCTCAAGGCCATGTGGCTGCTGTGTATCTGTTCCAGTGCTGTGGTGAAAAGTCACAGGCAGCTCCACGTGTCATCCCACTCACTCAGGTGATGCTCAGGGGGTGCATGTGCTAAGGTGACCCAATCCTCACCTGGACTTTCTGGGCTGCAGGAGATAGCAAGAAACAGTAGCTTACCCCAGTTAACCTTGGAGGAGACACTTGTCTACCTCCAAAAGCCAAAGGGAGGAAAGAATGCAGAGAGCTGCTGCACTCCAGTGATCTGTAACTGTGAACAGTTTCCTCCATGCAGCTGCATCCCAAATTTCCTTGCTGTGTTGGATATGTTTTATGAGTTACTGAGTGAGTAGAGGCAGAGGGAGGTGACCATTGGGTTGCTGGTGCAGGACAACAGAGCAAACATTGTCAAGGTGAGATGAGAGACAAACAGCTCTCCTGGGGAACATTGTGATTTTCCTTTAGGAAAATGTGAGGAATTCCCATTCCCTACCATGAGGATTTGATCTTGTGTATCACCACAACTTCCCCAGTCCTTACATTGCTTGAAATTGTAAGGTGGATGCCAGAACTCCTAACAAATGTTTCCAAGCTGAGGAGTAAAATATTCCAATCAATAATGTCAAATGCTTCACTAAGATTTACAAGTCTCTTGCTCACCAGCTAATAAGAGATCATTAACTGCTCAGGGAAAATGGAAATGGCTCCTGCTGGGATTCCAATTAAAAATGCTAGGCTGATATTCTGATTTGGTACAAGATGGGAAAAATTTGGGGTCACAGAAATTTGCGTTTGGTCTCATCAGTTCCATTTGTCCAACTGGTATTAACATGGTTCAGGATTCAGGAAAGCACTTGCTAATTGCATGTGACATCCTGTCACCTGAATGGGGTTAAATCCACAGTTAAAATTAAGAGCTTCATGGAACAGAGGCTGAGGACAGGACAGGCTGGAGAGATCCTGTTAGGAAAAGAACTTGTAGTGAAAGGGAAAAAAAAAAAAGAGGTATGGAAAAGGATGTATCAGCTCCTTTAAGGATCTCTGGAAAATGCTTCCCAGGAGGTCAATCTTAGCAGATTTACTCCCAAACAGAAGGGAAGAAGTGCAGGAGGGAGGTTTGCAGTGCTTGCAAAGGAACCTGATAGCTGAGGAGGCAGGATAGGAAATAGGATGCCCAATTTCTGCTCCCACTCTGCCACCCGTTCCTTGGTGTCCTCAGGCTGCTCAGCTCCTCTGCTGTTACAGTTTACCTCCTGCAAAATAGCTGTGATCACACCTCACAGCTCTGGCACCAGGAAATCCTCATCAGCAGCACAAAACTCTAATTTAGATGACCAAAGGTGCTGCCCCTGGCATGGGACACAGGTCAGAGGCAATGCCAGTCAAGCTGCTCAGTGCTCACTGGAGAGCACTGAGTGGGAGATGTCCCTGCCCAGGGCAGGGGGTTGGGACTAGATGATCTCCAAGGTCTATTCCAACCCTTTAACATATTATGAAACTATAAAACAGGATGTGCAGGAGGAATGTGAGAGAGCAAATGTGGCTCTGCACCAGGGTTGGATAAATGAGAGGTCATCAGTGCTGTTAGAGCTGCTGGTTGAGGTTTTCCTAGCTTTAGGGTGGAATTGTGCCTTTTAACTCGTGTTGGCTTGTAGGTTTGAAGGTTTTTATGCTGCTTGCTAAGTGCCTAATCCCAGGCCATGGTGGTCAACGAGGTGTCACCACTGATCTGAGGAAGATCAAGCAGGGTTAAGTCTGGTGCACTCTGTTCAAATTAGTAACACAGTGGAAGCCAAAGGTTTGTTGGGATGATTGAACTGGGTGAGATTGTCCCTGCAGAGCCACTGGCAGCAGTGAATAACCCTAATCAGGCTTTGGGAGGAAGAGAGGATGGAGCTACCACTGCAGGGCTTGAAGTCATAACAGGGGGAAGGTGGGGAAAGGAGCCTCAGGCTGGGGAGAATTGGTTGCCAAAAGCTGAGATGGTCAGAGGATGCTCTTGGAAGTATCCATGAGGAAAATGTAGCCTTCACAGTAACAAGCTGGAACAGCTTCATTCCAACAGAGTCAGGAGGTGACAGTAATTAAAAGTGAAGTCTTAGTCACAACAGTGAACAGCAGAGAGGAAATGACTGGTTATTCACCAGATCCAAGCCATGGGAACAGTGGTGTGTGGGTGAGAAACATGGATTGGGAGGCTTGATGGACACTGAGACCTGATGGAAGGCAAACAGAACAGCCAAGGTGAGGAGGAGAGGGGATGAACAGTGTGCCAACGATGAGCAACCTGATCTAGTGAGGAGATGATGGGACTAGATGATCTGTAAGGTCCATTCCAACCTTTAAATTCTATGATTCTATGGTTCTGGATGTTTCTACAGCAGGGAACAGCCAGCAGGACACTGGGGGTTGTAGTGAGGGACTGGATGGTCTCTGCAGGGTCTGAAAGCCACAGCTTGGCTGCTTTAGAAGGAGGTCTAGCAAAACCTCATTTCTTGTGGATCTGCCTGGCAAAGCAGTGGTCAAAGAAGGACACTCTGGTGCCTAATGATAGCTGAAGCAGCACAGTCACTTTTCCTTTTGGGGGTGCAGGCACAGGGTCTCTGTTCTGCCCAGCTGCCTGTTTAAAAAAAAAAATCCACAAACCTGATGCTCTCAGGAGTGTTTTCCTGGGCAGCAGATTGATCAGAGGTCATCAAAGCACCCAAAAAAAAAAAAAAAAAAGACACCTTGGTTAGGAAAAGTTAGTTACCTTTGGAAACTGAGGTAGGAAAGAATGATAAGGGAGAGGGACAAATAGAGAGAGATGATAGTGATGGAAGAAACCTTGAGGGGATAGAGGCTGAAGTTGTGGGCTGAGCACTCTCCTGCTGGCTGCAAGGTCCTGAGGGTGCAGCAGGAGGTTGGATTTTGGGCTCCCCATCTGAGTTTTCCTTCCCTTTTCCCCCCCAGCTCTCTTCAGCACTGCTGTTCGACGCCGTGTAATACGCCGTGGTGCCCGCGGTGCAGGAGCTGACCCGCAGCCAGGAGATTGGGGTGAAACCTCTGTCCTGTGGCTCTGCCCAGATCTGGCAGCATGGCACCAGCCTGATGAACTACCTGAGAATGGTGAGAAGGGACTGAAGTTTGCAGGTGTGTTGGAGCTCCTGCTCCTCACTGCCAGCAGCAGGAGCTGTGTCTGTGTGTGTGCTGGTGTTGGCACAGCTCTCAAACACAGTGTTGGCTTCTTTGAAGGGACCACTTGGGAATGGAAAGAGGAGATCTGAAGGCAGGTTTGTCCCTGGCCTTGGAATGACATGAAACTCCATTTTTCAAGCTTTGCTGCAGAACAACTGGAATTGAGTGGCATTTATTTTTTATTTTTTTTTTTGAAGTGTGAATGTTTCTAAGTGATTTGAGGTCTGTTTTGAGTGAACTGGAGTTGATAGGAGATCATGCAGTACAATTGCTTGGAGCTCAGTGGCAAGGGGTGAGCTCCTCTGTGGAGGGGTTTGGGCTCCTTTGAACCCAGAACTGTGGTTGCTGGAGCCAAACAAGCCTAGTTCTGGCAGGAGAACACTCTAAAATGTCATCCTTGGGCAATTTGATGTGATTCCTCAGAGCTGAGGTGACCACACAGAAGGAGAATGTTTCTGAGTCTGTTTGGGCTGCAACTGAGATGAGGAAATTTCAAGAGTTTGGGTTTTTTTCACCCCCCAAAGGAAAGCTCAGCTGAACCTGAACCTTTTACCACTTTGGTCTATGTGTATGAACCTGTTTTAAATCTGATCCTTAGTCAGGGACAAGAAAACCCTTTAGCTTCCCTTAGCTCTGCTGCTGGGAGATGTAGTGGCTTCCCCTTGTTACTCTGTCTCAAATCAAGCTGGAACATTCCAGTGAGGCTGAGCCATGTTTCCATCCCCTTCAGAATTAAACTCTTCATTTGGCTGTGACTTTTCCTTGCCATTTTTTGTCTAACACGAATCCTTTTCTTTTTTAAAATCAAACCAGAAACAAAGAGCTTTGGTTTTCTTAAAGTGAAAACAGGTAGAGAGCTGTGGGAACAGAGATGGAGGGAGGTGATGAGAAGATGTGGAGATTGATTAGTCCAAAGGTAAAACCTCAGGGGAGCTCTACACCTTGTGCTGCTGATTCTCCTGCTCCTCTTCACATCTCTCAGCTCCAAAAGCAGTTAGGGTTGGGAGTGAGGATTGCTTTGCTGGGGAGGTGTGAGGGGAGCACCCAGCAGCCCTGGCTGTGTGTGGGTGCTGGGCTGAGCACCTTGATGGGCGCTGTAACTCAGTGTCTCTTGGACAGGTAGAATTGGAAGGTCTCACCGGCCACATCGAATTCAACAGCAAAGGGCAACGATCCAACTACGCCCTCAAGATCCTGCAGCACACCCGTGGTGGCTTCAGGCAGGTAAGAGCAGCCACACCACCCTGGGGACAGTGCCCAGAGGTGGCTTGGTGTGTCACCTGGTCTGGTGTTGGCTCAGGTTGCTGCCACAGACACCTCAGAGTGCAAGAGGAGGTTGCTCAGCACAGTGTGGATGTCACAGCAGCTCTGGTTGGGTCTGGGTTGGCAAACACACTGTGTTGCACTTCATCAAGTGCATGTCTTGAGAACATTTAAATTTGTCTTAATGTAGCAGGGCCCTGAGGGGGTGATGTCAGAGCCAATCTCTGTGCTGTCACACTGACCCTCCTGTGCAGGAGGAAATTCAGGGCATGGAGACTGGGCCAGGTACAAGCTCAGCCTTATGATCCTTTTGTTCTTAAGCTTGGGCATATGTTTGCTCAAAATGATTTGGATGGGGGAAAAAAGGGAG